CGTGCAGAGGAAGCTGCGTGGGCAAAGAAGCAGGAAAGTGCAGTGTCTGTTAAGTGGCTCTGGGGAACTCAGTGTAGAAAGCAGGAACATGGGGAGGGCGGATGGACAAGTGAAAGAAGGGAGAAGAACCACTGAACCTAAAGCTACAGTTAGTAGATGGCGTGGACAGGTTGATAGCAACCTACCTGTACAGGTGAGGAACCCTGAAATTTAAGCTTCACTGATGTCATGATGACAGGCTTCCCAGGATCCTGCCCCAGGACAGTGATCTTTACAAGGTGCAAAATTTTTTTTTTTTTTTATCCTCACCCGAGGATATTTTTCCATTTTTTGTACAGATAGAGTGGGAGGGAGAGAGAGGAAGGGAGAGAGAGAGAGAGAAACATCGATGTGAAGGGACACATCGAGTGGCTGCCACCCACACGACCAACCAGGGCCAGGGACAAACTGCAACCGAAGTACGTGCCCTTAGCGGAAACCGAACCCAGGTCTCTCCGGACTGCAGGCCGACGCTCTAACCGCTGAGCCAAACTGGCCAGGGCTAAGGTGCAAAATTTTAAGAGACCAATTTTAACAGACTAGCCTTCTTGGAATGAACAAAAATGTGAGAGGCAGAACTCCAATATCTGGGGTCTTAACACAACACACACACACACACACTCTGTAGCCTCCACTGAAGGAGTCTTGTGTCCATTGCATGGCAGGGAGGGGAACTGATGGGCCACTTCATCCCTTCCAAGGCTTTGCAGATACCCACATGCTGACTCTTTCTACTCTTTGGTGCCCACACCTAGAGGCCCCACAAGCCCCTCAAACTCTATATGTCGAACACTGAAATTTTTCTTCACCCTCCAATCTTGTCTCCCCTCCAGTGGCCCACAACTCTGAGTATCTCCAGCAGCGAGTCACCCAGCCACACCAGATTCAGCGCTGAGTCCTCCGTCTGGCTTAGCCCCTCCATTGGATCAACAGTGGAGAGTGGTGCTCCCAGGAGTTCTTGAAGCCAACCTCTTCTTTCCTTGTCCCCGCTCCCACTGATTATTTTTTGGTGCTACCATCTCTCACGGCTCCTCCTCAGAGGGGTTCAACCATCCCCCTAACAATCTATCCAATTCAAATGCACATGTCACCAGGCAATGCTGTCAGTGGCTCCCTCCTTCTGAAACCCAGGCCCCTTACCCTGGTGCTCCAGGTCCTCCATGATCTGACCTCTGACTTCTGTCCCACCCTGTCCCTCTCTACCTGTTCCTCCACACAGACCCTTCACCAACGTCCTGCTGTAAGTCACAATGCTGTCCCTCACCCTCCAGGTCTCAGGTGCAGCCTCACCTTCTCTTGGAAGCATCTCCAGAACCCATACTCGTCCTTCTGAGGACCCCTTTCTGTGGCCCCTTGCTCTGGGCAGGGCATCTCCCATAACCTGTGACACTTTGGAGGATTTACAAGCAGAACTTGCTCCAGCCAGTCAATCCCTCTGAGGTGCTTACTCCTCTGTGAAATGGGACAATACCCACACCAAAGGATCTGAGAATGATAATGAGCACCTAGTAATTAGGCAGTGAGCTAAGAGGTTTTTGCACATTATCTGATTTAATCCTCGAAGCACTCAGAAAGGCAGACATTACTCTTAGCCCCTTGAATTGAGGAGGACACTGAAGTGAAACGTCCTGCCTAGCTGGCCTTTCTGTGGGCAGACAGACCTCCCTGACCTTGGCCCTGATCAGTGCACCCTCCTGCTGGTTGAGTTGCCTCTGCAGCCCCACCACCCTGTGAACTTTGAGAGGGTAGAAATGATACCTGTTTTGCACAAGTGTGTATCCCAAGCTCTTAGAACTGGGTTTTGCACACAGTGAGTAAATATTCGTTGATTGAAATTATCTGTGAACGAACAGACCCAGTGAGTGACAGAGCCTGGATCCCAGCTCTTGGCTCTTTCTCACCCACTGAACGGGATCCTGTGAGGAGTGCTTAGTACAGAAGCTGGCACCCAGTAGACAATCAGCAGAGTGTAGCTGCTGCTATTGTTATGAAGGCAGAAGAGGAGGAAAAGGAGGAGGGAAGGAAGAGGAGATAAATAATTTTAAAACAAGTACGACCTGGTGAGTCCGTCTCCCAACAGTCGGAGCTTCCCCACTGGATTCAGGCCCAGTTCTTCCCAGGTGCGTCCAGCAGGCAGGGAGAGTTTGGAATAAACATGGGTAGTAGAGGCTCCATCCTACCTTCCCCTCCCCTCCCCTCAGAAAAGAGGTGATGTTCCCACCTCTGTCCTCACCATCAGGGGTGTGAGCACCACCTGCAACCTCCACCCCAGGAACCCAGTCCAGGCCCCAGCCACCCCCGCATAGCTCCTCAGCCAGAGGCACCGACTCACCCGTGCCTCCTCCCCCCCCCCCCCCATACTCTGCCACCTAGCAACCTGGCTGGAGTGTTCTGGGTTCCGATTCTGGCTCCTCATAGCCTGGATGTGCGACTCTGTGCTGGTCACCATTGTTCTCTGAGCCTCAGTCTTCCTGACAGCTCAGTGGCAGTGGGGTCAGAGGTGCGCGTGGGTGCAAGACTTTGCCAGGCATCAAGGCTGTGACTGACGCCTTCCATCAAGGCTGGGCTTCCATTGCCGGTCCTAGGCCACGAGATGCTCTGGGCAGGGAGGAGAGGAGCCTGGAAATCCCACTACTCCACTCCCTCGAATTTCCTCCACTAGAGTCATTCTGACCTCTACCCAAGACGCTGGGTCAGGAGCCCAGACCACGGCCTCTCGGGATTCTAGGGAAAAGCCGCTTTCCTGCTCTTGGCCGCATGGGTACCTGGGAGAGGGGTTTCTGCAGAGTTCCCCGCTATGGGCCAGCAGAAATCTCCTGGAGAGGAGAAGGAGATTCGGTGCAATGGAACAGTAGAAAGGAGAGGAGAGCCAGAAGACCTGAATGGTTGGACAAGTCCCTAAACCACTCAGTACCTCAGTTTTCCTCCTCTGTGAAATGGAGCTGATAATAAACAACTCACTGGATTCTTTGGGGTGTGCTGTGAGAATGAACTAAAATCTACGAAGCTCCAGGTGTTCTTGAGAATGGGGAACACGGACTCACAGGCCGCAGCCCTCTGGTCTGGCTTGAGCACCAGCAGGAACCAAAGAGCTCCAGGAGGCGCAGTGCAGGTCCCTCCTGAAACCAAGAAACCCAGACCCGTCTTAGGTTCACTGGGTGAGGGCAGAGGCCGGCAAGGGGAGGCTGGAAAGCGGCCGAGAGAGGCCTGGAGGCCTCCGGGAACCTGGAGTGGGAGGAGGGCGAAGGAGGCTGGAGAGGGCGTAGCGGTGAAGGGCAGGAAAGTTCTCACTTCCAGACGCTCTCTGCGCCTTCTTCTGCCAGATTCTACGTCTCAGTAACTCTTCCCTCGTTCCTTTCTCTTCCCTCCCTCTTCTCTCCGTCCTATCTTCCTTCTTTCTCGCACCATCTCTCTGGTCCATATCTTTCCTCTCTCGCTCCTTCTCCCCCCACTTCCATCTCATCGTCACCCTCGCACTTTAAAACCAAACAGCCAAACCCCTTTCCAATTAAAGTGGAATTAGGCAACTCAATCAAATTAGTTCCCTATTAAAGCCCTTCTTTATTAAACCGTTTTCTTGTCCTGCTATTAAGTTTCACCGCCTGGCGGAACTCGAGCCGGCCCCAGAAGTTTACCTTGGGATGTCGTCGGGGCCAGACTAGGGGAGGGGGCACCCTGTTTCCCGGAGAGGGGGAGTCACTCTGTCGGGAGCGGGATGGACTTGGGAGGAAGGGGTGGGCCCAGGAGCCGCTAATTTGCTGGGCTCGGCTGGAGGAGGGAAGTAAAAAGGGTGCGGAGTGAGGGCTGGTTGGAAGGCGCATCTCACCTCCATTCTTGGATTACACTGCTCGAGCGGAAGCAGCGCCCCACTACCCAAAAATAACACCCAATAACACCCAAAATAACTCTGACAAAACGTCTTCCCTTGCAGCCTTTCCTTCCCAGCTGCTGTCTCTGCCGCCCCTGGTCCATAATCTCTCTGAGAAGGGAGGCGTGCAGTGTACCACCGGGGCTGTGCCCAAATCCGCGCCCAGGTGAGAACCAGAACCCGGCTGCCAGCCTCGCAGGATTCCGGAGAAGGTTCGCGATCTGGCGACCGGGGACCGAGAGCACTGGCAAGGCGACCCGGCCGGAGTGGGAAGGACAGGGGTCCCCGATGCGCGGCGGGGCCCGCTCCTCCCGGAGTTCTCAGCCGCGGGGCCCTCCCAGGCGCCACGAGAAGTTTCTTCGCCCCGCATCCCCGAGGGTCGGGGCACCAGCCCAGACTCGGTCAAGCGTCTCCCTGGCACCGCGGCCTGAGCAGGAAATCAAGACCTTTTCATTCCCGCTGCCCGAGCGGGACGGGATTCTGTGTTGTTTTCTTAGAAAATAACATTTATTTCTAGCTCATGTCTATCGAAGGAAAGCACACAGTGAGCCATTCCCTGCAGCAGCGTTCGCCGCTGGCCGCCCTTCGGCTGAGGCGTTTGGCGAGTCCCGGGAGGAGGATGTGGGCCCTCGGGAGGACGGGTCTGGCTCAGTCACACGTCGCTCTGTTCCTGCTTCAGTGCGCACCTTGACCGCTCCTTAGGGAGAGGCCCGCCCAGGCAAGAGGGGCAGGTGGGCAAGACTCGTCCGAGTTTACAATATATTCCGTCTGTAAAACCTGATAAGTACAATGCGCGCATGGTCTAACTTTTTCCATTTTATCCTGTTTTTCTTCCTTGTTTTTGAAAATTTTCACGTTAATACCGAGGTCACCTACAGATTACAATTAATAACTTAGAATTCCATTTTATAACATTATACACTGGCTTGTATATATATATGTATAGATTATATATAGATTTATACATATATAAAAACTCACACTGCACCAAGGAAACCCATGCTTACCGGCATAAGCAACAAAGAGAGCGACAAATACCGTAATGAGGAAAGTGCACCGTATAACTTGTTTCCTTTTTTTTTTTTTTTTTTACAATTGATATCGATATATAAGTGTGTCCCAAAGACTCGACTCAGTGCCATGAGATTTATACATCCTAAATTTATATTTGTTAGAGCAAATATTTAAAATTCTTTAAAAGGAGGGGGAGACACAGAAGACAGACTCAGACTATCCTGCCGTTTATTTAAGCGCAAGGGCGGGCGGGATGGGCGTAACTTAAACGAGAGGCAGGAGCGTGCGCTTCCGGGGCAGCCTTTGAATTCGCAAGAATTGTCACTTTTGGAAGGGCTGGGGAGCCTTAAGGAGGGGGTCGGGAGGTGAAGATCTGGGCCGCGCACCTCCTCGGAGAACATCTGCGTTTGTAGCTGCTCCACTTTGCTCAGCTCTTCCCACCCACCCTTCAAAAAACAAAACTGAAAACCACCTTGGAGCGAGACGACCCCAGCCGGGGTGCAGAGCGCGCTCAGGGCGAAGAGGGGCCGGCGGCCCGCAGGGACAAGGCTGGGGTCCCTGCTTGGGGGCCGCCCAACTGCCGGGCCCCTCACCCTACTGCTTCTCAGGGGCGCCATTGACCATAGGCCCGTACAGGCCGCCGCCGTAGGACGGCTCCTTGTGTACAGCGGCGGCGGCAGCAGAGCGGTCGCGCATGAGATCGCTGAAGGCGTAGTCCATGGGCGGGCGGAAGCCGAGTGTGGGCACCAGGCCCGCGGTGGAGTACGGAGCCATGAAGGCCAGGCCGCGGCTATGCGCCGCCGCTGCCGAGTAGGCCAGGCGCAGGGGGCTGAGGCCCAGCGGCGCGCCCAGAGGGTAGGCGCCAGCGTCGGCGCCGAAGTGACTGGCGTTGGGCTGCAAAGGGGAGAAGGCCGAGCGGCTGCTCAGCGAGCCCAGCGTCCCGGGAGCCATGGAGCCGGCTAGCAAAGGTCTGTGGTGTGGGGGTGCGGCGGGGCCGGCCTGCAGCGGCGCTGACAGCCCGGGTCCCCCGGCGGCGGCGGCGGCGGCGGCGGCCGCAGTGTCGACACGGCTTAGCCACCCGTCGTCCGCAGCTGCTACTGCAGCCTTATCAGAGGGCGCGGTGGGGCCGAGGCCGGCCGCCAGGCCCCCGCGGTGGTGGTTCAGCACCTGCTCGATGGCCTGCACCACGTCGCCGCCGCAGCCCTGCAACACCAGCTCCAGGACACCTCGCCGGTGGCCGGGGAAGACGCGCGTCAGGATATCCAGCGGCGTCCGCTGCCTTGGACCCGGGCCCCCGCCCAGCCCTGGCGCTGGCGGGGCCTCTGCCTCTTCTCTGTCGGCCTCCGAACCGGATTCAGAGCCCAGAGGGCTGGCAGAGCCCGGGCTGTCCTCCTCGCCGCCGCCTCCGGGGCCAGCGCTGCCAGGGCAGCTGCCTCCTGCCTCCTTGGAGGCCCGGGTCAGGGGCGACCCAGAAAAGGACTCGCCGTCGCCATTCTCGGAGCCCGAGCCCGGCCGCACCTCCGGGGATGATGTCCCGGGACCCGAGTCTGCGCCGTCGGGTGATAAGGGCTTCCCGGGTGGCGGCGGCGGGCTGCCTGGACGGCCTGCTTGAAGCAGCGCCTTGGGGAACAGGTCAAACTTCTGTAACTTGGCCTCTGTTGGGGGAGAAAAGAGGATGTAAAGAACAGTTAGCAGTGGGGAGGCGACCACACCCATAGCACCCCAGCCCTCTGCATCCCAGTTTCCTTTCCCAGTGAGTCCCATAACCTTCATTCCGTGGACTCCAGTGCCCCTCTTTCTTGTTGTCTACCATTCCTTCCTCTCTTCGTCCCTACAGCCCTCTCTTCCCCTGCCCCAGGAGCACTCTCTTTCTGTACCCATAACCCCAACCATCTACACCCTGTAAACTCAGTGTTCAGTGGCCTTCTTCCTAAATCTGTGCCCTAACACCTCCACCCTTATTCATCTTCCTAGCCCTGCCCTGCCCTGGAAAAATGACCTGGCCCTGGGTTCAAGCAGGAGCCAACATAACTTCCACCTACACCACACACTGTATAGAAGAGCCCATCTGTGATTCCAAGAGCCATCCCAGGCCTGGGTGCCCTCTGGCCCTGGGCAACATAGACTGTAAAGGAAGGGGCCTTGGGCATCTAGAAGATCCCAAATCTCTCTACAGGCAAAAATAAAGCCCCCATTTCTAAGCCATCCTTTCCAAAATTAAGACCTAAGAAGTTCTTGTTTCTCAAGCTCAGAGCTGAGAGGGCCCCAGTGGCGCCCGCCTGATTTCCTCCCTCCGCAGAAAAAGCCACGGGAGTTTTGAAGGGTGGGGCGAGGCAGGGAGTAGAGGGGTAGGAGGAAAGACCGTGGAGGGAAGTGAGAGCACGTACTCTGGGAAACCTGGGACAAGTGGGGAAAGAAGCCAGAAAGGAGCAGGGAGCGACCTGCGGTTGTCCAAGGAGCATCAGGAACCCGATTAAAGGAATCACAAGTGGAAAAGAAATGAATTGTCTTCAATACCTAGAGAAGGAGGTGTGGGGCGCAGGGGGGGCCTTGAAGAGGATCGGATTTCTGAAGAGAGTTGGGAAGTAGCGGGGGAAACTGGCATGTGGGGAAGCACAGAACGAAGGAAAAGAGAAGACGCGCCCATTTCTGCGCTGGGGTGAAGACCCAGCAAAGTGAGCAGGGAAGCTGGAACCTGTCTGTGTGGAGGAGATGAGCCTAAAACGTTCACAATTGGGCCCGCGGTGAAAGACAAAGGAGAGTTTACATATTTATGCCCCGAATCGGGGGCTAGGTGCGCGATGAACTCTAGCAGTCGGGACGTTTGGAGAAGGAGATACAACTCTTTCAGTACTGAGTCAAGTCCCTGGGCCCTGTCCCTGCTCCCCTCTTCTCCCGGCCTGGCCGCGCTCTCACCTGAGCTCCCGGCGCCCGCTGTGCCGCCTCCGGTGCCCGCGGGCGCTCCGGCTCCCGGCCCCCCGCCGTCGGCGGCGCACACGGAACCGAAGACCTCGTAGGCGGGTCGCGGCGGGATGATGCCGTTGGCAGCAGCCAGTGCCAGGCCCTCGGCTGTGCCGTAGAGCAGCTGTAGCTCGCGCGCCTCGTTCTCTTCCTGCGCCTGTTGCCTGCGCAGCGCCACCTGCGCTGCCATGACGCGCTGGCGCTCGGCGATGAGCGTGCACTTGGCGCACAGACAGTCCTTCCACCGGCAGTAGCGCTTGTGGCCCTTGAGTGCAGACACCACGCCGTGGTTGCGGCAGCGCGCGCACTTAGGTGTCCGCGGGTACTTCTCCGCAGCCCGCAACAACAGCGGAGGCGCCCGTAGCAAGCCTCCGGCCACGCTTACCGGTAGCGAAGCGGCCGCCGCCGCCGCTGCCGCCACCGACGCCACAGATGCCACGGGCGGCCCCGTCGCTGTCGTCGCTGCCGTCGCCGCGCCGGGCACGTTGGGCAACTCGGAGCGCAGCTCCATGTCAGGACCTGGCGTGGAGGACCGTAGGAAGGGGGGAGAGACTTGTGGTGAGAAGTGCACGGTGCGCGAAGCACACCTTCTAGAAACCCAGGCTTAGACAGGGAAATTTCGGCCGCAGGAGTTTTGGCTACTGGTTGTCAAATTTGGAGGAGGTGCCGTTGGAACCCCCTTGTAAGGCCGAGCTCCCCATCCCCACCCAACTCCTACCAGAGTTCTTATATCTGATTTATGCGCTGGGTGTGAGATTTCGTCTGAATCAGTGGTTCTGCTGGAAAAAAATAAAAAGTTTGAAAGTCACTGGTTCAGATGGATGTAAGGAGAGTCTGAAAAAGAAAATAGTTTAGCTTCACTGGGGTGAGACGGGATAGAGAGAAATGCTTGTTTGATGGGACTTGTATTAGAGGGAAATGTTTGACCCAACAGACTGATGCCAAGACAAAACAGGAACATCCGAGGTGAAATTTACTCGTGGAAGAGTGAAAAGGAGAGAGAAGGAGAGTTGAACTGGTCGGACTGGAGTTTTTGGTTTGTTTTTGCTGGTGGGAGCAGGAGAGTTCAAGAGAAAAATCGGTAACAGAAAGGATAGCTCTAGGAAGTGGAATGAGGGTTAGGAAACAACTCAGGGGCAAAGTTAGGCCCAGGAGCCCCAGAGACCCGTGTAAATGTGGGAGCTACAAGCTCCGTGGTGCAGCTCTGCATAGAGTGGGAGACAAATGGGTGTGGAGCTGAGTTTAGGAAGCCTAGGGAAGACGTTTAAGGAGAAAAGTCAGATGAAGAAACTTTGGGTAGGCAAACCCAGCCCAAAGATCAGCTAGCTTGAGATCGACGAAAACAGCTGACATGGGTGTCTGGGTCCCAGGGTGCGAAAGAGAGGGGTGTGCTTGAGGGAAAAATAAAAAACCCCGCAGGCATAGGCTGGGGTGGGAATGGAGAAAACCTGTGACACAATTATAGACTGGTAGAGTAAGTAGTCAGGAAGGAAAAAGCACCCTGCAAAAGTTAGGTATTGCAGGAGGCAGATCCTTACCACCTTACCCTGCCCTCTCCTCCCCTCCGGTTTAGGCACCAAGTCGTCAGACACGCCCTCCCCAGCCTAGGGCCTCGAGGGACCCCTCTCGGGCGCAGATTCCTGCGTTCTGGTCTCAGAGTTGGGTTCCTGGGATTTGAATGGCTTAGCAGGCAGCGCCGAGGCAGAGGAATGGCCTCTGGAACTAGCTTAGAGCGAACCCCGGCGTCCCACCTGAGCCGCGGCTCCAGAAGGCCCAAGCAGGCACAGCTCCGAGCTTCCCCCACAGCTTCCTAACCCTGCCAGAACCCGGGGCCGAATTCTCGTGTCACCGTCCGACGATCCTAGACCCCACCCCTCTCTACGCGCGCTGCCTTTTCCTTCAGGCTCCTGGGGCCGCACTGTCCGTAAGGCCAGCGTGACCTGGGCCTGGTGAACAAGGGCCACAGGCCGGGCCACCTCCCTTCCCTCCCTGAGGCCCTCAACTACCTGCCTTGGGCTCGGGGATCCTCCTCCTCGGCTGGCGCTGCACGCGCCTCCCAGCTCCGCTCGCGACGCTGGCGCTCTTAGCCTCTTCTCTTTGCCCCCTGGCTCCTTATCTGACCACGTCACCCTCCTTCAGTAACCATGTCCGAACTTCCGGACCCCCTCAGAACGCTGTGTAGTCCAACCCTTCCGTCTGAAATTGGAGCCGGGGGACCGTTTAGGGACCGTCTGGCTGGAACCCGCGACCGGCCCTCGGCGCGCCGCGTCCCCTCGCGGAGCGCGCCGGTCGCTGCGCACAGCCGGGCCCCAGTTGCCCGGCGCCGCCAGACTCTCAATGAGCCACTCGCCCGCTCTATTGTTGCTCCTTAGGGCTCCATTAGACAGACTTGGACAACAATGTGGCGCCTGCCATTGGCCAGGGGAGGCAGACGGCACTCTGATTGGCCGGACCCGCGCCCGGGGAGCCTCGCATTCTACAGTGTCCGAAAGATTCGAAACTCCAAAGGCTCCTCTGAGTGCCTCCGGGAGGGGAGGGGGCGTGCCAGGGAAGGAGTGGAGAAAAGTGGGCAAGAAGCAGCGTTGAAAATATCGTGACAAGTAGTTTCCGTGCTCTGGAGAGCGTGTGAATTATGCCTAATTACCGTGTCCGGTGGCGCCTCTACGCAGACCTGTGTAACCCCTCGGCTTCTGGGGCGCGGGCTCTGCTGCGCTGCTCTCTCACTTGACTCCGGGCGCTTGGCAAGACCGACTTTCCCAAGTGGCCCTGGCGTCCCGGGGCGAGATGGGGGCAGGTGACAATTCAATTACTGTGGTCGGGGTGGGGGGTGAAACGGGGGTGGAGAAGGGAGGGTGTATATGGCAATGCCAAGACTATTTTCCAGCTTCCTTCCGGCTGTTTCGGCGTGCTTCCAAGTCCGATGCATTTGGGGTAGTCAGGGGCTGGTTTTGATTTTTCTGCTGTCGCCTTTAAAACGCAAGTTATTTAAAAAGTTCTGGTACGACAAGGCATCACGAAAGGTATGTGTGGTTACTAAGGATTTGTGTTTTTAAAGTGGAGCCTGGAGAGAAGAAATGAGATTGCGCTTCTGGTCCGCGCCGGCAGCGTCCCTTGCGCTTTGCGCCTTTCCCCTCTTCACCCCTCCCTAATCCCGTCCCTCTACCCACTCTTGTTCTTTCCTCGGTTCTGCAGCATCTCGATTTCTTTTCCATAGTGGTGGGATTATATTTTGTTGTTTTAAATTAACAATTAGTTTAATTTTATATTTTAATTTAAACGAAGTAAAATTTGGCCTCCTTGTCTCCCCAGATCCACTGGGAAGCGCACCCGTCTGTCCGTCCTTCGGGCCAGAGACAAGGTCGCCGGAGTTCTCAGGAGTTTTGACTTTGACTCTCCCAACCTGACGTCACAGCCCTGAGATACAGCTCCGTCTGCAGAGGAGGTAACAGGTTTCACATTTTGTTTCCTTTTGAGTGGCAACATCTGGAATTAATGCCGTGGTCCTCGGGCAAGATCGCCTGTGGTTTCTCTACCTGGTTCTCTGTGCCTTTCTTTTTCTTTTCCTCTTTCTAATGCACTCCCATTTTCTCTCATTTTTATTATCTACTTTTCTCTTTCGTTCAGAGTAATGAAAATTCGTTCAATTAATGAGACAAATGCTGTTTTCTCCTCGTTCTCCCTCCACCCCTGACCATGCGTTTCCGCGTTGTTCTTTCGAACTCACAGGGCCACGGGGTTCTGGCTGGAGCCATCTGGGGCGTGGACCTACCGGGCGTGCAGACTCGGCCCAGGAGCCTCAGAACGCAGCCCTTCCGTTTGGCACGACTACGGGGTCGCGCCCTGCCAGCCCAGCTGCCTCTGACGCCTGGGGCTGGAGATTCCGCAGGAAGGCAGGACGAGCCCGGCCCCACCTCTCCCGGGTTCCTCCGGTTGCCAAATCTGAGGACCGGACTGGGGGTAAGGGGAGGAGAAGAGGGTGGTGTGCGCTAGAGTGGGGCGAAGAGCTTCCAGAAAGTTGACCAGGCCGGCGTGGAGGCTACTCTGACCCCGACAGATTCTGTGACAGCGATAGAAACCAGGCCATTTGCTCCTAACAAATTCCACTCGCTGGAGCCTGAGAATGTGTTTGAGAGAGAGAGGTCAGTTCCCGTAGGGTTTGCCGCGTGGAGTGAGGGTAAGGGAGTGAGTCTGGGATAATACGTTCTTCAGGAGCGTAGGAGCTAGACCCCATCTTCCAACACCTTCAGGTTATGAAGTCAAGGAAATCAGTGTGTTAACTGAACCCTGGAATTGGCGGGGGTCAGGAGGGTGGGGGAGTGGGGAGACGACCTAAGCCAGATCCCGAGATGGGGCAGCCAAGAGCCTCCTTCCAGAACTACCTTGGACTAAGCTTTCCTGAAATAATAATTATTATTATTTAAATTTTTAAAATTGATTTTAGAGAGGGAGGGAGAGAGAAACATGGATGTGAGAGAAGTACATCGATTGGTTGCCTCCCTTAGGTACCCCAATCAAGGATTGAACCTGTGACCTTCCCAGCACGGGTGCCTGGGAGGACTCCAACCAATTGAGCCACACTGGCCGGTACCAGAAATAATTGTAAACCTCAAATGAAATGAACTATAGAAATCAGCCTAGCTTTCAGGGGTAGTAGCACAGACACCCCTCTTCATTCTTGAGACCAAACCACTGTGAGATTACCACACTCCAGTTCAAGTAAACCTGTGGGCACCAAAGATCCAGCCGAGGGTTCAGACTTGGGAGCTCGGAGTGTGTAAGTAGTCTCATTTTCTTAGGAGGGAGAGAGGACGCATCCTGGAAACCAGCCCAACTGTAGGGAATCTGGCCACCCCTTACAGCAGGTGTCCCTCCATTGATCCTCTCTCCTCCTGTTCACTACCCCACAGGTCCAAGACCCACAACATTTTTTCTGGTGATCCAGAGGTTGAGGTGCTCATGTGAGTGACTGTCTTGGAAGGAGGCACTGAACTCACACCTCCATAAGCCACTCTGGGGCTAGTCCTAATTTGGACTCAGGTCAGGAGGAGGGGAGCCCACCAGAAGGGGAGGCCGGCTGAGCCACTAGTGGTGGGGAAGAGCATGCCTAGATTGAGTTAGCAGGGGCTAGCCCTCTACTCACAGCAGAATGTGACTACACCTAAACACACCACCGGCACGTGTGACCTCATTCTGCAAAGTTTTGGACACACTCTCATACCTGCATGCAACTACTGCCCTGGGGTGCACTCTTCTCAGAGGCTGCCCTCCCACCCAAAAGGACACCTTCAGAAAGTTCCATCGAATTCACAGCACTTTCATAAGTATGTCCACATCTTGGGACATCCACTTGGTGTGTGACCTTTCACCCAGACTCCTACCTCAGGACTGAACATCCAGACAGGAGTATATGCTCACACACGTGTGCCTTCGCTCCTCCACCGATCTAACCCTAGTACGGGTCCTTCAGGTGGCTGGACTCTGGGCAGAGAAAGCCAGACCTCCCCGGACAAATGGGTCAGCTGAGGGCAGAAAGCCCATCCTCACACATGTCTTTTTAGCTCAGGATCACATGCTGACGCCTTTGCTGTGCCAGGGGTTGGGGCACCGGTGAGCGCTTCCAGCCACGAAAATCCGCCTCCACCCACGTTCACTACTGGTACCCCCCCCCCCCTAAAAAAAAAAACCCTCCCCCCAGGCAGTGGTGGGATCCAAAGGCAAGGCCCTGGTGAAGACAGGAGGTGAGGCTGGGGGGATGAAGGGGGCGGGGAGGAGGCTGAGGCGCGGCGCGGTGGCGCGGAGTAGGAGCAGGGCCGGGGGCGCTCTCTGATGCGGGACCCGGCAGGCACTGACTTTTGCGCTGTTTGTCCGCGGCCTCGGAGCAAGCAGACGCCATCTGTTTGCCGGCTGCGTCGCGTCCCGTTTAATTACCCTCCCGGCAGCCTAATAGAGATGATATTAAACTAAATCTTTCTGACATTAAAAGTAATTATCCCCAAACCAGTGGCTCCGGGACGAAATCGCCCCTCCCGTCCCCACCCCTCCCTTGGCCGCCCCAGATTCCGTCAGTTTGGCTGAAACTCTTAACCGGCAAGAGGGTGCAGAGAAAAGGGGGAAAGGGCCTTAGGGAGAAGGAGTCTATGCGAGCCGCCCCATGCGCACTGTTTTCCACACAACCACAGGCACTCTTGTACGCACGAACACGCGTGTGGACGCGCACACCCCTGTACACACACAGACACGCCATGACATTTTCCTCGGGATCACTCTCGAGCAACGTTAATTAAGATTCAGCCTTTAGTGGACAGGGAGAAGCGCAGCCTGGTTTGCTGTTCCCGCCCCCGAGCCCACAAAAAACAAAAACAAAAAACAGCCTTTTGCGTGGTCAAAGACACGAACCCGGCCAGGGCCAGGCCTGGAGACCCAGACACCAGTCTGCAGCCAGAAAGAACCTCTCCCACCGCAGCGTTTGACTTCTTTAGGTGCTCTCCTGCGAGGGGCCCTGCGCCCTGCGCCTCCCCTACAGGGTCTTACTTAAGTCACACCGCTCTCTGCGACGCAGGTCCCAACTGTCTCACTTGACAGGTGAGAAAACAGACTCTGGGCAGCGAGGCAATTTGCCCTACATCTTACAACTAGTAGGGAGGAGGGCAGAATTCGAACCCAGGAGTGCCGGGAGAGATCCCCCACCCGAGGCCCAAGCTCTGCTCGGTTCCAGGCGCCGGCTCAGGAAAACGCGGCGGACTGTGGCCTCTCTCTGTACCCTCACACTCGAGGACCGCGGGACCTGCTGTGCCCAGCCTCTTCCCGGGCTCTGGACCCACCCCCACACCACCCCCAGAGACGTGGGCCGGGCAGCACCCACAGGCTGGATCCCTCGCGAAGGCACAGGCTCTGAGAGCGCGGCCCGAACCCCCCGCGCAGAGCTCCAGCGGCCCCAGCCCTCCTTTGTATCAAACCCCGGCGTCTGCCCTGCGCGCGCCGAGAGAGGCGACAGCCCAGTGTCTCCAGGCTTCCTATCTAAACAACCTCCTGGTTGAACGCATCTGAGCCCGAGACCAACAAGCCTAGAGTGGTGTTCATCGCCCAACTATTTGCTTCTATTTTTGAGCGCCTAAAGTGTACCACCACTCTGCCAAAAGCTTGCTGTGTGCTATCTTGCTTGGTACGCAGTCCTTGGGGGAGGTGTGTTCCACGTTTCAGAGACCAGGCTACGGCTAAGCGACACGTAATTTCCCCGTGGTCACGCTGCTGCTGGCCCGAGGAACAGGAACACGGGTCCGACTCCCGCTCTTCGTTTTTTTCCTTCTCACCTTCAGTTCTGGACGGGTAGGATCAGTCG